AGCGCGCACCGCACGCACTGCACGGCAGCACGCACTGCGCACACGCTCGGCAGCAGCACCATGAGCCGCATGCACGCACTACGCGGCAGCGGCACCATGAGCCGCGCGCACGCACCCAAGCAACAGCAGCAGAGCGGGGCCCACACGATAGCTCATAGGGGTGGGCCCACCCTATCTAGACACGTCAAGAGAACTCGCCACCAGCGTTCCTTATCTTATCTTAAGTAAGAGTGAGTTTCCATTAGGAGTAGGTAATTAGGAGTTTGAGTTTAATTAGGAATTTCCTTCTGTAATCTCCTATTTAAGGAGCTACGAATTGAAATAAAGGCATTCAGTTTTTCGCAGTCAAGAAAAGAGTGAGGAGAGTTCGGGTGGTCTCTTGGACAAATCACCCCTTAGGAGAGTTCGGGTGGTCTCTTGGACAAATCACCCATCCAGTTTCCGCAATAGGGTCTGCACGCAAGGGAAGGCGCAAGGGAAAGCAGGGCTTTCTCACCGTGGACCGACCGTGACGAGATCCTACGCGCGAGACCATAACATTTGGTATCAGAGCCAAACGTCACGGGCGATATGGAGCAGCTATCATCCAAGGTCAACGAGCTGGAACATAGGCTAGCAGAAACTAGCATGGAGGTTCGTGAAGTCAAGGAAGATGTTCGGGAGCTGCGATGCCGCCTGGAAGCACTCCTCTCCAACAAAGAAAGGAGTTCTGAGGGAATCGCCAACACCAACAGTCTCCATCCGGACTGGGCAGAGGCATCCAGCGAACAGTAGATCGCTGCCCCTACAGCCGCAGTTATTACCAAGGATCAGCGCACGGAGGATGAGACTGTAAAGTCTCCTCCTTTGGCCGGGGACAATGTCACGAACATTATAGTAGAACTTGCAGATTGCGCTCCTTTGACGAAGATAGGTGGGCTTGGCGATGCTGTTGGGGCTTTACCGAAGGCCTTGGCTCGACATAGAGTTATGGTTGCGGCACCATAGTATGGTAACTATGCAGAAATCCAAGAAACAGGAGTGCGCAAGAGATGTAAGGTGGAGGGGTAGGATATAGAGGTAACTTTCTCTCAAGCTTATATTGATGGCATGGATTTTGTGTTCATAGACAGCTTTATGTTCTGCAATATTGAGAAAAATACATATGAGGGAGGCCGAGGGGATATTTTAAAATGCATGGTTCGCTTCTGTAAGGCTGCTCTTGAGGTTCTCTACTATAAGCATACCCGGTGCATTCTTGTGATCCACAACATAGCACATCGGGGTCGTGGTCCAGCACATGATTTCTGTTATGTGGATCTTCCACAAAACTACTTCAAACTATATGACCCAGGAGGTGGGGAACACTTCAATGTCCTTGCGGCTGGCCTGAGTGCAGAAGAGCGTGTAGTCACTGTAAGCCATGGTTACGCCTAGGAGCTGGAAACTAAAGAAGGCGGCTGGGGTCTGCACCAAATAATCCAGCTTTATGCACTGAGCTATAGGGCAGTCCCTGTTGTTCATACTGTTGGTGGACTGAGAAATAGTGTGCAGCCGTTTGATCCATTCACAGAGTTCCAAGCCATGTATCCGGAATTCGAGCTTGAGGACAAGCTCGTAGTCCGGGAGGGGTGTGATGTTATGGATACACCACCCGGCAGCACACTGCGGCGCAGTCATAGGCAGCAGCACGCACAGCAGGCTGCACAGCAGTACGCACCGCCCGGCAGGGCAGCAGTAACAGAGCGGGGCCCACACGACAGATCATAGGGATGGGCCCACCCTATCTGGACACGTCAAGAGAACTCACCGCCAGCCTTCCTT